GCTATATATTTCAAAGAGAAGAGTTCCTTCCTTGTGCAGACTCCTACTCAGAAACGAACAGAGGTCGACGAACTAAAGAAGGAAGGCGTCCACGACCTGTGAAACCCTAGGTAGGCTTCGAATAAGAATGTCAACCGCCAACGAAAGCGAGCGAGCATCAGGAAGTGCGAAGAGTGCTACAGGTTCGCCGATTACCTTGTTTCATTTGGTGAAAAAATTTGTTGGTTTAAATCTTTTTTGTTACGGATTGAATGCATGTTGAAGTTAGATGATTTTGGTGAAGTTTTTGTAATAACTGAAGCTCAAAAAGAGGAGATACACAAAGTGGGTTTTGGTGCATTGTTTAAGCTGCAAATTTGTGAAATACCAGGATGGTTGGATTTTTGGGTGGTTGATAACTTCAACCCGAAAACGTGCTCAATGGTGCTGCACAATGGTAGCGAGGTGCGCATAACAGAGGAGGATGTAGCCCGCATTTTGGGATTTCCATTAGGAGGCAAAAAATAATACAAAAAAGGAAGAACGGAGAATGTGCATTGCTTACACAGTGGAGAGCAATATTTGAGAAAGATGGTTACAAAATCAGCCCATCTGATGTAAGCGAAGAAATGTTGAGCATCAAAGAAGGTGGTGAGTGGTTTTGTAGGCATTTCATTGTTCTTGTTGTATCACTGCTTCTAGACAACACACAAAATGGCTATGTGAATCCAATGATTATCAATCATTTGGAGGATGTTGAAAAGATCAAGGAGATAGATTGGTGTGACCATGTACTCAATGTGCTAATTGATAGTAAAATATCATGGGAGAAGAAGAAGGATAAGGCATTCACTGGTCCATTGTTATTTTTAACAGTAAGTTTAACAACTAGAATTAACATGATTATTGCATTTTCAAGTATATTTTTATTCATAGCTTGTAAAGTGTAATAACAATAAATTGTGGTGCAGTTGTTCTATGTGGACAGAGTGGTGCTGTGTAGGAGAAGAGTGGTTAGGACTTTACCTGTGCTCAAAGGGTGGAGTGGAAAGCTTCTAAGAGAGCGAGAATTGCTTGAAATAGAGAGTGGCGGGTTTGGGATGGGGTATTGTGATGGCCCACTGATATGTGAAGACTGTTCGGAGAAGGTTGAATTAAAAGAAGGGAAAGAAAGAGATCATGAAGGTGGAAGTGGACATGGAGTAGAGGTGCAGTGTACTGGTGGTGACCATGATGAGGTAATGTTAACTAAAATTCTGATTCTGTTTTCCTAAATTTAGCATCTATTTGTGTGCAAGTGTGCAAATGAAAGGGGAAATAACTTGAATGTATAAAAACAAGAATATGTTAAAAGATTTGTACATAAAAACAAAGTGTTGGCATCAGCTGTGATTGATGTGCTCAAGATGTTTGAAGAAGCACCAGCGAGCTTAACTGAAAAGGAAAATTTCATAAGGATCCAAGAAGCTGCACAAGAACTGATTGGTGTAGGGAAGAGGAAAAAAGCAGTTGATCGTAGAGAAGAAACTGATGCAAGAAGTACTCAAGAGAGAGAAGATGATGCATTCTGGGCTGAAACAATTGCTGCAGTGGAGATGGTGGAAAATGCTAATCAGAAAAAGTGTTTATACGAGAAAGGAATTGAAGATACTCCTTTTTCAATTGGATTGACACAGAAAAATCAACAATAGTTTACCATCATATCTGATTTGTGCGCCGAAATTGAGAAGGAAGTGAATGATGATTTGGTATACACGTAAACGCTAACTCATATTATATTTAATGGTTTTTAACAAATATTGTAATAATTTTACATTTTTTGAAAATTGAAGGAGAAGAGAATGTGACAAGGCAGACGGAGAAGGGGAAAGAAGCGATGTTGACAGAAAATATTGTGGAGGTAAATAGAGTAGAAATATTTTTAGAGTATTCATTTTTAATAAAAATTAAGAAGATCCAAATGTGCATTTGGTTAAGCAAACTATGCATTGTTTACTATTAATTTGAGCATATAATACTTACTGTTTAAAAGTAAAGGTAGTATTGACATTTTAACTTTTATGAAGGTTAATGAAGATGGAGATGTTAGAAGTAAGAGTGTGAAGGGGAAGGAAAAAATTGATGAAGTAAGTAAAATTTAAATATTTTCAAAGGATTATTTTTTATTTAGTGAAAAACTTATGACATCCAAATTTGCAATTAGTTATGTGCAACTGTGCATAAAGTATTATTTTATATTTTTTTGAAGGAGCGAGCAGAGAGCGGTGTAAGATCTGTGGATGTGAAGGGAAAGGCGAAGATTGATGAGGTAACTAACGTTTACATATTCATGAATGGAAAACTTTATTATTTTTTAATAGTTAAAGATCATAGGTAGCCTGCTATTTTGTGGTAGCATAATGACATTTAATTGAAAAGTGCATTTAATTTGCAGAACAAGGAACAGAAAAAAGGACACAAGCAACGCTTTGATTATAGGAAAAGTGAACTGGAATTGAGACCAAGAAGGAGAGGAAAGGCAACTGAAGTTACGAAGTCTCCTTTTGTTGCATGAGTAGTTGACCCTAATCAGCCCTCATGCGCAAGTGAAAAGTTGATGTGGAAATGGGTAATGCAACAAGGAGATGATAAGAGGTATAACATATAAAAAACGTTGTCAAGTATAAAACTTTATAATTTTAGGGTTAAACATAAAAATAAGTTATGTATTGTTTTGTGCAAAATTAGGGGAGAGATTTTGTTCAAGTATGAACAGGTTTCAGTGACGCGGGGTGACATGATTAGCCTAGGGAATAAAAAGCACATGCACATGAACATGTTAGATGCGTGGACAATCTGCTTGAATAATAATGAGAAACCACGAAGTAAAACATCACCGTGCAGACTGTTTGTGAAATCATATCCCTGTGTAAGTGTTATGAATGTAAATGCATTAATTTGGTTACAAAAGTGCATATTTTGATAAAGGTTTTTGCAGATGTACATAATGGCAGGCCGAATCCCATAAAACAATTCTTACGAAGTGTTTAAAACAATCGTATGTATATTATAGTGAAATGTCTTCAATGTGCAGTTCTTCTTTCCAATTGTTCAACCACAACACTGTTATTTTGTGGTTTTGAACATGAAAAAACAGCAAATCGAAGTGTTGGACAACTCATCAGTGAACATGCTCTTTGACGAAAAGTATGGTCAAATGCCGTATTCCCTGGTGAGTTTAGTGCACAGTACACACAAAAATGAAATTTTTAATGTATATTATGGTTTAAAGAAGTTATGTATATTTTGATTTAATAAACTGTTTTTTGAAAATGTTGAAAATAGAGAGACATGTTTGTTGATTTCATGACCGAAATGGAACTGGATACCGACGAAAACACATTCTACACACCTGCTTTGACAAGATTGAAGATGAGGTGGAGAGAACCAAGGAATGAGTATGATTATGGAGTGTGGAGCATGAGACATATGGAAACGTACATGGGCCAAGGGACTAGAGGATGGGATTGTGGAGTTAAAAAAGGTGATGCAAAGGCACTGAATGCATTGAGAATGAAATATTGTGCATCTATTTTGACATCAGGTATTAACGAGGTCAAGGACAACCACTTGAATGCAGTGAAGGCAAATAATTTGATGAAGTAGACGTGAAAGAATACTTTAGCCCTTTATATTTACTATCTTTCTTGCAAGGATATTTATATATAAACATTTCTGGTTTTTAAATGTGCGGTGGCTTGCACGTTTGTTTTGTGGTTAGACGCACATGAAATCTGTGCAAACTAAGTTTTAAGATTACTGTGGAATTTCTTTGACAATTTCATCTTACTTCTTTGGTAATTATGAAAACATATTGGTGGGATTAATGAAATGGATCATTTGATTTTGTTGTTATATGAAATCATATATCATGAAGTTATGCACTTTTTAAACGTAACAGTGCATATGTATTATTATGTGGCTACTTGTTTTTTTAAACATGCACAACTTGATTAAACCATTGAAGCATCTGTGATCATAACCCTGGAATATTCAATGAATACCATGACCTAAAATATCTGTAACATGTATTATTTAAAGTACTTAAAGTGCGTAAAGTATATTGATATTTGATAAAGTGCATTGTCATATGTATTTTTCACTTCACGTTGTGGTGATAACAATGCATTCTCATTTGTGTTGTATAATATATTTATATTTTTAAAATAATGAAGAATTAATTTTAGCAATGCACTATTGGGTAGAAACAATGAACGGTTTGGTCATAACAATGCACAATACTAATTTATAATATAACGTAATACAAACACAAAAAAATAGAACCAATATATTAAAAAGAATAAGAATTTGTACATGTGAAAATGACAAGTACTAAAAAAATTAAAAAGTGAAATCATTCCTCCAAAATCGAAAACAATTACTAAACATGAATAAAATAGAATGATTATTCCTCCAAGTTCAAAAGACAATTCCTACTGTCATGATACCCTTTTTGATTACATGTTCTACATAATCTCTTAGTCTTTTGGGTCACTTCAATTGCCTTCTCCTTTCCACCTTTAAGCCTCTTACCACAACCCTTATTTCGAGCCTGCTGAGGTGGATGCACGCTCACTTCAGTAGGAATCGATGACCCATAAAAGCCTTTGATGACATCTCTTTTAGAAGATGTTGCTGCACTACTTGTTTGAGAGCTAGACAATAATTCTTTTTGCACCTTAATTGCATCTGAAAACTGCTTCAACAAAAGAGGTTGCTGGTCAATCATTCCAATACAGAAATTAATATCAGACCACAATGTCTTTATAGTTAGGGATTGTTCTTCACTTCCAACACACTGCTAAAAAACACCGTCTTCGAATGCTTTCACAGGCTTTAGAATTGAATCTTTGCACCATCAACGGAGCACATACCTATCTGGAATTGCATTGACCTTGTTATCATTCAATACAAAAAATATATGACGACACAATATCCCACGCCTTTCAAAATGTTTGCAAGAGCAAAGTGTAGTACCATCACTAGTATTGTGCACAACAGTGAAATTAAAACCTCGTTCATCTGATATGATATACTTAAACACGCAACCTTCATGTTCAAGACTAAGAACAACACAAGAAAAGCAGGCACAACATATTTCCTTCTGAACGAGATAAAAAATTGAATGATTATAAACAGAGGAAGCATATCTCTCAATATGTAACGGAGTCTTGTACTCAGGAATGGAGGACTCAGAAACTTTGGTCTATTGTGCACTCTTATGTCTTTGCGAATCCAGTGCACTCTCAAACTGCATATAAAACTCAACCAAACTGAAATTAGAATTTGTGAATTCATTAAAAAAAATATTTTCACTCTCAGAACGTGATGTAGTCCTAAGCAAACCCGCCATGAAAATGTCACCAAAATAAGCAGGAATCCACAACCTCCTAATCTCAAACATCTGCGAGAACCAATTATGAAGAAGTAAGTCATATTCTTTCATCAAATTAGTCCATCTCATCTCAAATTCATCTGGCTCTAAGTAATGACTCCACACAATAGAAGTCAATTCTTTCATAAAATTAGAATCTTTACTCAACACCGGTCCAACTTTCGAACTCACCTTGGACATAATATGCCACATACAAAATCTGTGACATGTTGTACTAAATACCAGTGGAATGGAAATTTTCATGGATGAGTCTTGATCTTTTACGATGCACTTTGGTTCCCGATCCATTGCATTTAGAAAACAACGAAAAAGCTGGGCATAAGATTCCACATCCTCTTTCAACAACAAACCCACACCAAAAGTAATGCACTTTTTGTGATTATCGACGCCAGTGAAAGGGGCAAAAACCATGTTATACCTGCGGGGTGAAAAGGAAAATCAAAAGTGCATTGAACGATTTAACCAAGTGCACTACTTTAGAATTATCAATGCAAAGCATATGAAAAATAGAATGATAGCATGAATAAAAATATACAAAAAAAATTAAATTACTCAAGGGAATAATTACTTATAACAACAATACATGTTTGTCTCATACTTCCTCCGTTCTTTTTTAATTGCAACAGTCCACTTTTCACGTTTGCCAACGCACATGTTTGACCATCAATATCTTTAATTTGTTATTAGTAAAAAAATTAAAAAATTCAAATATTGAAAATTTAAAATGAGAAGAATTTAACAATATTTTTTAAAAATTTAATTTATAATACATTAATAAATAAAATATAGTCAAAGTAGAATAGGTGAATAGTGCAAAAAGTGTAATGTTGCAATTAAAAGAGAACGGGGGTAGTATGTTGCATCAAAAGAAACAACATCCCCGAATAAAGCATAGTTCTTTATGCACACTAGATCCGCCCAAAATATGCGTGTCAACTGGTCACTCTCGTCAACATCATAGTCAAATGAAAAGGCTCAACATATCTCTTTCCTTCTAAATAGCTTATCTATCAACATTTGGGCATCTACGCCAACTATATAAGCCTTCAAGTCACGTTTAAAATTCTTAAAATCAACAGACGTAGCAACAATATTGGCATAACCCCCGAACAGTTTCCTTATACAATCGGTAGCATTTCATAGTACCAATATTTTCTTTAGCACAATTCAAAAAAAAAATGATGACCAATGTCAAGTTTCCTATTCACTTTTAAGAATGACATAGAAGAAAGAGAAGACATAGAATGATTATGCCTCTCCTCAAAGAATGTATTTTTGTATCCATTCATGCCGGCAAGCCTATAAACCACATGTGCTTTGCAATCACACCTATTAGAAACAGTGCGTCTTTTTTCTCGTCATCATCAACGCATACGCCAGGAGTTGGTAAATCTTCACCGTGAGACTGGTCTTCATTTTCAGATTCATCAGATTCACATGATTCATTTTCAGTAGTGAAATCTTCAATTTCATTACTAAGCTGATTATCTAAATCAATATTCTTACAGGATTCAGTGTTAGATGCAACCGTCTTAGCTTTAGATACATTTTTGAAGCCCTATCTATTGCACACCATATGTTTCCAAATAATAACGCCATCACGAGGCCTATGTTGACTTCTTTTACGTGATTCAAAACCACAAATTGATGCATATTGCTCATAAAAACGCATACCATCCTGTAAGTTATTGAACAACATACCAACATGCGGTTTGAAAGCGGGGTCAATTCAGGTGTGCAGTACATAGTATTAACATCAAAGGATTGAGAAATTGCTGCAGAGGCACTGAAGTTAACGTCACCTGAACCTGATTGAACCATGCAAACCAATAATTCACAATCACGTACTTTAGCACAAAGAGCACAGTAAAATGGCAATATCACAACGCATATAAGAGCAGCATAATAAACTTTAAAGTGAACGAACCAAATAAAAACAGTAAATTTAATATAAATAAAACACCATTTATAAAATATTTTGTTATATGTTAAGACGGATTAAGCTACATGCACAGAAAGTATTCAAAAACACATGCATTGATCAATGCCACTACAGTAAAACTGCAATATCCAAACGCAAATGCATCATAATACACTTTATAGAGCAATCGTTTGATATTGACAAATTCACTTTTAACATAACAAAGTTTTTCCATCAATGATTTACGACATCGGTAAAGTAGAAGCGAATGAAGTTTACAATATTGAAAAAAAGTAACAATCACATGTCAAAATTGTACAGTACCATATCGAAATTGAAATCATATTTTACACATATATTCATCAAGGAGCGTAAAATTTGAAGATTTTAAACAATGATCAAACTAAAAAAACGATACTTACTGGACTCCATGGAAGAACGTTAGGTTGGAGCGGAAATCCGATGAATACGTTATTTGTTAGGATGAATTGCGAACAAGGAGAGAACAAGAACGCAACAGCAAGAACGATGCAGGTCAAAGAGAAGGACGCAGAAGAAGAACAACGGAGGAGGAAGATGTGTTTGGAAAGAATCGTTGAGGAACGGTTATTCCGATCAAACAATTCTCTACCACGATGAATTCCGATCAATACCTACGCACAAGGAGTGAACAATGGAGCAGGAGGAAGAACGACGCAGGAAGAAGATATCTTAGGAAAGAATCGCGGAGAGACGGTTAAGGAAGGAATCATGCAGCGTTATTTTAGGAATAGATACCAACATATAAATGGAATTGACTCCAAAGCCTTCTAGGATGATTTAGGCGCACGGATAATTAGAAGCCAATCCAATGGTTGATATCTATTTTTTTTCTCTCCTAAGATTAAATTCTCACATGAACCTATATATATATATATATATATATATATATATATGTATATGTATATATAGAATAGAGATCAAATACAAACCCTTCTTAATTTGCTAACCTACAAACTAATCCTAGCCATCCATTTCCTTTGATCTTACGTGCGTTCAATGTCAGAGGCAGTTGTTTAACTTAATCAATTGAGGGGTCTTTAAGTCTTTTTAGTTTGTTTTAATTTCAGAAACAAAACACGTTCTCTTTCCATAACTGCTTCTTCATTATTATTTTCTTTTCTTCTTTCTTCGGTATTGAAGCTTTAGTTCATTCTCATCTCAAAATTTTGTTTCTTCTCCATCGTACAAATTTGCTTTCGGTATAACTTCTTCACCACCAATAACAGGGGAGACCATGGGTTCCGATATTAAACCCTATATAGTTTCGTGAATTCTTTTTTTAATTTATCTCCATCTCCTACTCCTTCGTCCTCATGAAATTTTGCATTTTAGAAAATCTTTTTTTTTGTTTTTTATGAGATGAATCATATTTTAACGTTTTGATTTTCGTCTTCATGAAATTCATCAAATTCGTATTTATACAAAATAAAAAATGTTTAAGTGCTACTAGCTTAATCTGCCTGAAATAGTTATGGTGTTCTCACGTTGATCATGTTTTATGCATTATGTAACCGCATGAATTTAGTATATATGCGTCTCAATTGACTATATAATGCAAATGCCATAGCAATAAGATGCAGTAACTTCTAAAGTGAAAATGTGAGCTCATCTGACTAAAGTCAATATACGACTTCTAATATGCACGAGTCATAATGATAATAAAATGCAACATACGTTAATGCAATTTCATATATCTCGTAACAATAATATGCACATCCATTAATTATATTATGCACATTCCATAACTTTAATATGCAGACACTTGCATGTGTTCACTTCTTACAAATTTAATATGCATGTTAGAAGTTCTAATATAAAGTGTGCACATGTTATCAATATATAACGCAATTTCCATAATCTTAATATTTTAAGTTTTAAAAATAAAAGGTTAATTAAGAATTGAATTATTCACCCATATGTAAATGTCTATTTACTTTTAATTTATCTCCATCTCCTACTCCTTTGTCCTCATGAAATTTTGCATTTTAGAAAATCTTTGTTTTTTGTTTTTTATGAGTTTAATCATATTTTAACGTATTTATACAAAATAAAAATTGTTTAAGTGCTACTAACTTAATCTGACTGAAATAGTTATGGTGTTCTCACGTTGATAATAAAATGCAACATACGAGCACCTAAAATGCAGATGACATAGCGTTAAGATGCAGTATGAACTTTTAAAGTGCACATAAATTTCTCATATGGTGCAATACAAAAACTTCTAAAATGCACATGTTATAATGATAAAATGCAAGATATGTACTACTATAATGCAGCATTGACATACTTCTGACGACTATACATTTCTAATATTAGTTATGAAGATATTATAAATATATAATGCATATCTCGTGATAATAATATGCACATCCATTAGTCTTATTATGCACATTCTGTAACTTTAATATGCAAACACTTTTACACGTGTTCACTTCTTACAAATTAAATATGCATGTTAGAAGTTCTAATATAAAGTGTGCACATGTTATCAATATATAATGCAATTTCCATAATCTTAATATTTTAAGTTTACAAAATAAAAGGTTAATTAAGAATTGAATTATTCCCCCATATATAAATGTCTATTTACTTTTTGTGAAATTTTGAACAATTTCCAAAAGTTACAAGTGAATAATTCCCAAAATAAAGAATAATTGGATTTGTTATTGCAGCTTTCATTGATGGCTAAATATTTCAATGTTAATCCTTGGATCTTTGCTTTTTTATTTGTTAAACATGGGTGGTTAGAATTTTAGTGGTGGATTAGCTAAATTGTAGGGATTGCCTTCCGTAATCCGTATGGTGCTCATTTTTTTAATCATGAGATTTTGTTATTAAATTATTTCCATAGATAATTAAACATGCCGGCCACTTCTACTTTTCAATTACCATTGTGATCTTTTAAAGACCTTAAACTTAAAAACGGTGTTATCCGTATTTATCACCTGCTTGTGTTTGCACCGTTGTAATAATGCATCCTATATGCATCAGCCGTCCGTTTTTTCAAATCCAAGGGATGCTATTGGTTTGTAGTTTGCACCAGAAACATGGTTTGTATGGGATCTCCCCCCTATATATATATATATATATTGGTTCAAATAAGAACATGATCTTAGGAGAGAAATGAGAAAGAATCTGGACCGTTGGATTTGCTTTAAGTGAAATTCAGTGTGCATTAGATGAAAGCGTAATGTGCATTAGATGAAATTGAAATGTGCAACACAAATGGTACGATGCAGAGACATTATGTGAAGCTGAATTGTGTATTAGGTGAAATTGCAATGTGCACTAGGTGAATTCCGCACATTTAAGTTTCGCCTAATGCACACTTGAGTTTAAATTGCAATGTGCACTAGGTGAAATTGCAATGTTCACTAGGTGAAATTGCTGAATTCCGCACATTTAAGTTTCGCCTAATGCACACTTGAGTTTAAATTTTTATTCTGCACATTTCAATATCATCTCATGCACATTTCAGTTTCACCAAATGCACAATGCAGTTCCACATAATACAATCCAACGGTCAAGATTCATTATCATTTCTCTCATAAGAGTCCGTTCTTACCGGAACCGCTCCATATGTGTGTGTGTGTGTGTGTGTGTGTGTGTATATATATATATATATATATATATATAGGGTAAGGATCAAATGAGAATATAAAAAATTGTGCATCATGTAAAACAGAAATGTGCATATAAAAAATTGGAAAATGTGCATTTCGTCTGTGCAAAATTTTAAACGTAATTGTGCACATTAGAATTTTGCATTACTGTAACTATAAATGTGCAGTTTTGTGAAGGATAAAGTGCATCGTTTTGGAGTGTTCTCATTTCTCACGTTAAGGAGTGTTCTCACCGGAACCGCACCCTATATATATATATATATATATATATATATATATATATATATATATATATATATATATATATATATACACACACACACACACTCACCTCACTACCATTGTGCGGCACCATTGAGCACGTTTTCGGGTTGAAGTTATCAACCACCCAAAAACCCAACCTTCCTGGTATTTCACAAATTTGCAGCTTAAACAATGCACCAAAACCCATTTTGTGTCTCCTCTTTCTGAGCTTCAGTCATCACAACGAGTGATTTAACAATCAAATTTGGTGATGATCTAGTTCTTATTGTCATATACCTGGATTTGATATCTTTAATGCTCTCTTTCTTATTTTTATTGCTCACATTCGCAACTACCCCAGTTGCATCATTACCTTGACCTGGTTGTAATTCAAAATCATCATCACTTTTTTCTTCTACTTGTTGTTTCCTCTTCCTCTTCAACCTACATTGGTTGTTTTCTTGTTCATGAGTGATAGCTGGTTGTTTCCCTTTATTGTTCATCACCACCTGCAACTGTTCTTCTCTACTACCTGCAAATTGAAAACGGGTGCACTATGTTTCTTAAGCAATGCACTATTGCTCTGTTTCACAACAACAAAACTACTCTATTTGGTAGTACCCAAAAAATATCTACTTTTGGTACACACAATTTTTTTGACTTACATCGAAAAGCAGCTGTATAACATATTATGTGAACATTATGTTCATGACATATATAAATAGTGTTGCATTGTAGCATCATATTTTTCAACATATTGCATTGACTTCATGCACATTCCAAAATATCTAACTCTTATCACAATTTCACCTGTGATATAAGCAATTCATGGTTTGTTTCAATATTTGCTGCACTTAGGATTTAGACTATATGCACATTCACATATCAATAATATGAATTCCTACCAATACAAGACAAAACAATTTAACTATGCACTATACGCCTTTTTTATCACACTAACCAGATACTTTTCTTGACCCTAATTTCTTAATTTTTCAATTCTTGATTCAAATAAACTTCCGTATTCAAATTTCAATGCACTTTAATTACTTAATCCATTATATTCTTTCTTTTCATGAAGTAATGAAAAACAATGCACTACTTGGTCATATGTACGAACTCAAAACCTTTTGGTCATGCACAATCGCACCATACCGATATTGCTTCACACCAGTGCCAAACATTTTTCAATTTTTTTAACTTTTCATGATAAACGCTATAGAAACTTCACCAAAATCATCTAACTTCAACATGCATTCAATCCGTAACAAAAAAGATTTAAACCAACAATTTTTTTTTACCAAACGAAACAAGGTAATCGGCGAACCTGTAGCACTCTTCGCACTTCCTGATGCTCGCTCGCTTTCGTTGGCGGTTGACATTCTTATTCGAAGCCTACCTAGGGTTTCACAGCTCGTGGACGCCTTTCTTCTTTAGTTCGTCGACCTCTATTCGTTTCTGAGTAGAAGTCTGCACAAGGAAGGAACTCTTCTTTTTGAAATATAGCGGCACATTAACCGGGATTTGTTGCCATATAGGAATACGTGCGCCCCAACCGCCATAATTAATCACAACTGCCTTTTACCAATATACCCTTAAGTTGGTCAACCATTGTACGTTTCCTACTTTATTTTTTTTGCACGCACGCATCATGTGCCTTTTTTAATTGGCACAATATGTAATCCGAGCCGCAAGTTTAGAAAAATGGACGGTTTGATCTTGTTCTTTTTTCTCTCCTCCAAGCTCTATCTCACAGGAACCCTCCCTTATATATATATATATATATATATATATATATATATATATATATATCCTAAA